AACTGTACCGCGCTGCTCCAGGGCAGGCGTGATCTCGTAGATCCGAATCACCACACAATTACTTTGACAGAAGCGTAACAAGTGTATTTGAACAACGGTACAGCATGGTCACCGCGTCCCAGGGGGGTCGTAATGGCGACCGATTCTATCATCAACTCTTCGTTTGTCAACACTAAATCTGGTATGGATGATGATTGCAAGTTTCCAAATCTGGTATGCTCTTTCACGTGGTCGTACAGTGGATGTGAGGTCATTAGCTTAATAAAGTGCTGTTCGAATGTAGGATGGGAGATCATCGGTTTGCCCAAGTTGGGCCGTTGAAATCACCCATTAGTAGAACATTTGAAAAGTGTTTTGCGAGAATGTCCCATAGTATTCAAAAGGGTCATATTGGCTGATTCCGTGGATGACGGAGGGCGATAGACAACACCAATCAAACAGTCATCCTGTTGGGGTAATCTCAACTCATGCCCGATGGTAACGTCACCAAATTATCACTTCGGAGTACGTGTGTTCGAACCCCACCATCATCGCTTGATTTTCCCCGTGGCAGCCCTTTGATTGGCCGCTTCCCCCTTCGTGAAAATTGTATCATTGTGTATTCAATAAAAAGAAAGTAAAATTAAAAAGAAAAGAAAAACGAGTGTCAGCTGTCGAAACTGAGGGGATTGGATTTGTTTCGGTACTAGAGTAGAACACCATCCCCACGCATAGGGCGATCGCATCTCAGCATAGACATCTCCGAAAAGGACAAATCAGAGTCCGGAATATCAGCTGCAAGCCAAGTTTCGTAACAGCAATAATATGTCACTGACCTGATATGAAACGCGAATCCAGCTCTGGAAATTTGCTGAGAAGTCCTTAAGCATTGGTCTAGCAACAGTGTAAATATCATTGTGTCTCCGTTTCTCTGATCGTTTGGGATATTGAGCTTTCCGGTGAAGAACCTCATGGTAATTGACAACGATTGGCGATTATAATGTTTATTTTACGATATTTTGCTCAGTATATGTACTTTGATGATTTGTATTGTTTCCGTTTGACCTCTATTGATTTCAAGGCTGGGCCTGTTGATGCTTCCTTGTTATTATGGTGACATCAGTTGTGTCAACTCTGTCGCTTCAGGCTGAACAACTGCCAGCGAAGTTCTGTTTGACACCACCAATATTCCCCAAGGTAACCCTTATACATATCAGTCCTATTCGGTTGCAAATTGTCTCCGATGCAACCAACCACCTACAAGCACTACCGTGTGTGATCCTCAAGCGGTGTTTGTCATCAAACATTTTCCTGAAAATTCTGTTTTCAAACACCCTGTCAGGAGAAGCCTAATCTTCTCCAGAGAATTCTCACTGTATGAATCAGAACCGGATTGGGATCAATCGCGATCCCGTGAACGTGTCGCCGTTTTTCTCGATCGTACTGGCTACGTCTGAGTCAGAGTAAAAGTACAAAGCACAGTGACCTGATTTCTGGCAAGTCCCGCATCGCCACCCACGTAACCCCCACTCCGGACAAATGTCTATAGACAGTGAGCAACCCCATAAATACCACACGTTCTCTTTCCCTTACTTGACCAGGACCACGACTACATTTGGGCTGGTGATACCAATAAAGGCCTCGCGCTGTTTTTTCCAATTGTCTTTTTGCTGCGATCGTTGGGATACGCATCGTTATACCAGGTTCAGTGATAGTTCGGCAAGACAAAAAAATGTCGACGGGAAAATCGGAAATTTACACGAATTTTTCGGCAGACCAATTCCAACTCCCGTAAATGCACCAACAGAAGCAGATTGAGACTCAACTGATCGAATCATTGACACAACGGATCAACCTGCAAACAACGGAATCAGTTTCGCGTGAATTCCCTCCTAGCGTTACCGAAACGCTTGCAAGTTCAATCACAGAATTCAACTATGATCCTGAAACTGGTCACACTTTCGAGTCATGGTTCAAACACTGGGTAGACGTGTTTCAAACAGATTTCAGTTGTCAATACGATGCATAGAAAGTGCGCGTGCTGGTCCGGGAACTTGGAACCACCGAACACTCCAGATTTGTGGACCACGTTCTCCCAAAACAACCAAAGGATTTGAAATTTGACGAAGTGGTGGCACAATTATCAGAAATCATTGAGGAGTCAGCTTCACTGTTCATTATCCGATATGAATGCCTGAAAATTAATAAACAGGATGGAGAGAATCATGGCATGCTTACTGACAGAGTCAGTCGTGAGTGTGAACTTTTCAAACTTCGTTCATTGACCGATGAAAAATTCAAGTGCCTTATTTTCATCAGAGCACCGCATAACACAGAAGATGCTGACATCCGTACCCGTCCATTATTCAGACTTGATAAAGACCCGGATATGGACCTGAAGTCTGTTATGGCCGAATGCAAGCGTCTTCTCTCCTTGAAACATGACACTGCGTTGGTCGAACAGAAGACTTCCATAGCTGACGTTCATGCAATGCATTGCCCAAAGAATCAGCCATCAATGAAGAACTTCACATCCGTGAAAACCCCCCACCAGAAAACCACCCTCTGCATGTTGGTCGTGTGGCGAATGGCACTTTGTACATTTTTTTTCCCCATTCAAAAAGCACACCTGTCAGAAGTGCAACAAACGGGGTCACAATGAAGAATGCTACTGATCAACCAAACACACTCAAGGCAGTCAGAAGAAAGCGGTTCATAGAAAGTCCAACAAACGATTCCCAGAAGCACGTTCAGTTGCTGCGACTTTTCAAACATTATCAGCCAAAGAGAAAATTCATCACTGTGTTCATCAATGGCAAACCAGCCAAACTGCAGTTGCACACAGCCTCAAACATTACGCTAATCTCTAGAGGCACATTACATAGCATCGGGAGGTCACAAATGGTTTCATCAACCAAAAAAGCGAAAAATGCTTCAGGAGGCGAACTGAAACTAACCGGTGAAATCAAATGTGACATTTCGTTCCGAGGCTCCACTATAAAAGAAACATGTTATCTAATCGATCGACCCGAACTGAATCTCCTTGATCTGCACTGGATCGAAAAGTTTGGATTATTTGATGTTCCCGTGAACGAAGTGTGCCATCAAGTCTGAATGCGGAACAAGTCGTCACCCTCGATTGCAGGCATGATACAATCATTGAAGCAGAAATTTGCATCTGTATTCCTGGAAGGCTTTGGTCATTGCACTAAGTTTCAAGCTTCACTTTCACTGAAGCCAGATTCCAAACCAGTGTTTAAATATAAACGCCCTGTACCCTACGCTGCCATCGAATCAGTCGTCGCTGTACTAGACCAAATGCAGCCGGTCAATTACCCATCATGGGCAGCTCCGATTGTAGTCGTCAAGAAACCCAATGGCAAGGTGCGCATTTGTGCCGATTTATCAACGGGTCTGAACGCCTCACTAGAAGACCATCAATATCCACTTTCAGTACCTGAAGACATCTTCGCAAAACTGAATGGTGGTACTTGTTTCGACAAACTTGACTTATCAGATGCATGTCACCAATTGAGCGTTGCTGATGACTCAAAGGAATTACTCACGATAAACACTAATCGCGGGTTGTTCCAGTACAATCGTCTGCCTTTCGGTGTCAAGTCTCCACCAGCAATTTTTCAGCAGCTAATGGACACGATGTTGACTGGTATCACAGGTACTGCAGCATATTTGGATGATATCATCGTTATGGGACGCACACAAGAACTGTTTAGCCGACTGAATGCAGTACTGAAACGGATTCAACATTATGATTTCAGAATTTGAGAAGACTAATGTAACTTATTCATGCCCTCAATCAACTATCTTGATTTTATTTTGGACAAACATGGCCGTCGACCAGATCCGGAGAACATTAAAGCCATTCAAAATATGCCACCACCAAAGGATTTGGCAACATTCAGATCATTTTTGGGCCTCGTAAGTCACTACAGTGCATTTATTCCTGTATTGCATCGCGTCCGAGCTCTAATGAACCAACTTCTAGCTAAAGGCCAACCATGGCATTGGTCAACAGAATGCCAGAATACCTTCGATTACGTCAAGTCAATGCTCAACTCAGACCTGCTTCTGACGCATTTCTACCTAGTACTTGATATCATCGTGGCAGCCAATGCTTTAAACAGCGGAGTTGGTGCAGTCATCTCTCACAAGCTATCAGATGGATCACAGAAGGCCGTTTCACATGCCTCTAGATAATTAACTACAGCGGGGAGAAAGTACACTCAAATGGAAAAAGAAGCCCTGGCTATCATCTGTGCTGTGACGAAGTTTCATAGCATGTTGTACGGTCAAAAATTCACACTCCTCACCGACCACAAGCCACTGATAGCAATTTTCGGCACCAACAACGGTATTCCAACGTATACTGCCAACCGCCTTCAATGTTGGACACTGATCCTTTTCGACTACGATTTCAAGATCCGCTGTCAGTCGACTACCTCCTTCGGTCAAGCGGATGCGCTGTCAAGGCTTAATAACTCCCAGCGGCCGGAGCCCGAAGAAAGAGTCATTGCTTCCATGTCGGTGGAACCGGAAGTCAAATTCCTCGTTTCCGGTGCTCTACGCAATACACCAGTAACAGCGGAAGAAGTTCAGGAGAAAACACGACACGACCACCTGCTCAAGAAGGTCACAGAATTCCTCCACACACGTTGGCCGAAATCGTGCGACTCCACCGAATTGGGTCAGTTCTTCCAACGGAAAGATTCGTTATCGATTGTGAACGATTGCACTGTGTTCGCTGAAAAAGGTTATGATTCCAAGGACGCTACAGAAAAGAGTGTTCCAACGATTCCACACCGGACACCCGGGAATCAACCGCATGAAGTTACTCGTCAGTAGTTACGCCTATTGGCCGTTCATCGAAGAACGAGTGGAAGAACTCGTCCAAAGCAGTCACCAGCGCGCCTTTGCGTCCAAGATGCCAGTAAAAGCCAAGCTTTCCAGTTGGCCCATTTCTGAAGAACCCTGGCCCGAGATTTTCCTCATAAATAGCTCTAAGTCAATCCCAACAATCGCAAGCCTCCGGCAGCTTTTCGGTCGTTTTGGTGTCCCTGAAACGCAAGTTAACGACAACGGCACTCGGTTCACATCACAACAATTTAAAGAATTCTGCAAGCGGAATGGCATTACTCACGTACACTCCGCACCTTATCATCCGCAACTAAACGGCCAGGCGGAGAGATTTGTGGATACTTTCAAGCGGTCACTCCAGAAAGTAAAAGGGGAGAGAGCAACCGCAGAAGTCATCGATAGGTTTCTGTTCTTATATCGATGCACTCCAAATCCAAACGCACCAAAAGTAGTTTCCCTATCAGAAGCGTTGATGAACCGAAAGTTACGAATATCGTTTGACTTGTTGCTCCCAACCCCCTACAACACTGAAAGGAACCGAAATATGGAAGAAAAACTCAGTCGGCGACACGGAGGCTTGCAATGTTCCTTTGTCGTAGGTCAAGCAATGTTAGCACGATGCTATGGAAGAGACGGTTCTTACTGGGTAACAGGCAGAATTTTGCGAAGACGTGGAGCTGTATTTCATGAGTTGCAAGTACAGTCCAAAGTTTGGTTGCATAAGGCAAATCAAGGAAGGCTAACAAAATGCTACTCAAAGTCCACAACTGCCCCTCGACATGCTATTGGAGACCTTCAGACTGCCGAGGTCATCACAACCAAGTGAAGTGCAACAGAAACCATCAATCCTGTCAAGGCAACGTACAAACAGCAAACAAACGCAAACCACAAGACTGCAAGTTAACCCCAAAATGCGAATGTACATCTCAACAGGGGTGTCAGGAGAAGCCTAATCTTCTCCAGAGAATTCTCACTGTATGAATCAGAACCGGATTGGGATCAATCGCGATCCCGTGAACGTGTCGCCGTTTTTCTCGATCGTACTGGCTACGTCTGAGTCAGAGTAAAAGTACAAAGCACAGTGACCTGATTTCTGGCAAGTCCCGCATCGCCACCCACGTAACCCCCACTCCGGACAAATGTCTATAGACAGTGAGCAACCCCATAAATACCACACGTTCTCTTTCCCTTACTTGACCAGGACCACGACTACATTTGGGCTGGTGATATCAATAAAGGCCTCGCGCTGTTTTTTCCAATTGTCTTTTTGCTGCGATCGTTGGGATACGCATCGTTATACCAGGTTCAGTGATAGTTCGGTAAGACATAACACGCCCTCATACTCCCATAACGCTTTCGTTTTCCTTACATCAAATAGTAATCCTTTCAAATTGAATCAAATCCTCTATTACTCACTTCAAATAAGTAGTCAGATTGTGAATGTTTCCAATAGGGGTCATAAACCCGGAGGCTAGTGCTGAAATGAGCGGGGTGCGATGCCCGCAACAAGCTCGGAATGATGGGTTGTGCTATATTGTATAAATGGAAAATGAAAAACATTCTCATCGGCTTCCCGTTTGCCGAGTGGGTGGCATACTTGCGTTCTGCCTGTCAAGTTCCGGGTTCGATCCTCAGTTGTTCAATGTATTTGCTATGCTGATGAGACCCAACCAGATCGAAACAGGTGTCCAGTGTATCCTAGCTCCTCATTCCACGCTTTATGTGCTATATACACGACTAATTCACCTTTAAAAGTGAAGCAAATCCTCCGTTACTCACATGGAAAATAGTAATCCATTGATTGATCACTTTCCACTTTTTGGTAATTAGTTGTACAATTTTATGTTCAAGACTATGTGAGTCAAACAGTGAAAATAGATAAAAGACACCTAGAAGGCTAGATAACTGCTATTTTTATCGTTGAACTACATGTAATGCCCACTCATTAGCCCACTTGACCAACTGTTGTCCGAAATCTCTCCTTTTTTAGTATCTCGGTGCATCGAGCAACGGAGGAACTGCACTTCCCGTTCATAAGGTCTTACTGTTTATATATAGGATCCAGTGCTCTGAGTCCTGTAACTGCATCAAGCAGTGAATTTTTTCACAGCTTCCAACGGATAAAGCATCCAAACGAGGCTCACAGGTAACATTTCGTTTTCTAAGGGATGAATTGGATACTGATTATCTCCACCCATCCGAGTGCAGGATCATGTGAACCAGTACAGACATGACCTGCCACATGTGAAACACCCAAACAGTTCTCCCTAATCCCGCGTACAATGCAACCAAACAGGAAAATCACGAACGCTCCAGGAGATTCGATCTTCTTTCATGATCATCATCATCAATCTAGCGAGAACGACCAAAGAATCAATCTAACCAACGTCTTCCAAGTTGTACGGCATCGGTTCGGCTGGCATACTGTTCACACGCGTGGAACCTAAAATTCCTACAATTAAATCCTGAATAGTACACCCAAAAACCAACTGACTCGGCCGCGGTTGAACAAACAATCACAAATTGAACCCGTCAACCTACCTGAACCGGTTTCGTTCCAATTATTTTTTCTCCCGAGCGTATCATGTTGTTCTCTTCAAATTTGTGAACGAACCCTATCATATGTTTGTTTCAATTCACTGACATGGTATCAAATATGCCGGACTCTATCAAACCACTACGTGTGTGCAGCTTATTAAATGCGAGGAAGTATTCACAACCATAATATCGAAGCTATTCAGTCACACTCGTAGGCTTAACACAAATCCAAATCCAATTGCTGCATTCCGGGACGATTTTGATGATTTTTCCCCGTTCCGTGAACTTCATGATTGAATAATGTAGTTAAAATTTCACGTACACACACACACACCATTGTGCACGTGAATTAATTACATTAATTACATCCGAGATCCGTTGAATCTACTAACCATCCGGAACATGTAGTTCGGATGCAAGTGTGAAGCTGCAGCTAGTGCGATCGCGTGTTAGGGGCGGCACACTCTCGTTCGAGGAAGTAGTATTTGAAAAACGCGTGTGGTGTGTGATTTCTCCAGCCGTGAGTAATGTGGACAAGACAACGATGAACGTGTGCAAACGACTATTGTGTCCACATGCCAAGTGGGGGCGGAGGGCGGGAGGGGGTTGAAAACGCGTGTTCACATGCATTCAACGGTAATGTTTAATATATATTTTTTTTTATTTTACGGTTTCATTACAAGTTTAGGCTTTTCAATACAATGTGTGGAATCTACGATCTCTCAGCACTGATAGTAACATTGAAGTAACACGATAAATCAAAGGACCAGTGTTTGATGTGCAATGGACAGAACCTAATCCTGCATTTCCCGAGTCAGAGAATGAGAAATTGTGATCAAAAGAACACGGGAAATTTGATTGATTAATTCAAGGATTACGTAATCATCACTGGTGATTATGGTCAGAATGAGTATTGGTCATAACGGAAATTGCGTGATTGTGAATAATATATAAAATAGCATTTTGGTCATTCCGTATATCTCTAAGATAACAGTGAGTTTTGTTTGTTGTGTGTTTTTCCGTCCATTTGGGAACGGTAGTGAATTCTAATCTGCAGCTGATGATATACAGAGGATTACAAACTTCCCAGTACTCATGATAAGCGCGACTTTATAGATCATGTATATAAATTTATATGCATGCGGTTTACTAGCTTCATTATCAGCCCATGTGCAGACCCGCAAAATAAACTAACAGTGAACGGGTTTGTGCAGAGTAACCCTTTTAGCAGCCAGCGTTTCAAAATCCAACTTCGCAAGACGTATCTCTTGGGGCTTCTTGATCTCCCGTTTTCGTCTACCGGTAATTTCAACCGAGCTGGATGCAGTATGCCACATTCATAGCTGCTGGTGGTAGTGATGGGGGTGGGAGACACATCACGCATAGACGTAAACAAGGGATTGTGATAATCACGTGTGTTTGCAGTATAAAATGGCTCCATTGATCTTAGATACCCACCTAACATCCTGTCTGTCTTGATTGACTGAGACTTGAGACTGTTTGAGATCGTATCACTCAAATCGCACGATATGGCGACTTCTATAGGAATACATGCATACATACCGACAAACTTATTTGGACAACATAATTATGTAAATTTAGTTATTAACACTTGTATTTATAATCATGTGCTCGTGCCGCATAATTGGTTTAGTCATCTTTTCGTTCGCATGTATTTGGGTAGTAAAGTGGGCAAACTACTCCTTTACCCAGGCCACTCTTTCTGTCTAGGGATGATTTTATAGATACAGTTTTCTTTATAGACAATCAGTGCCAACTAACCCTCGCAGTTTACATTCGGAAACCGCGCTAAGCGATTAAATTAACTAATTAATCAGATGTACAAATCGTTTGTCTGAAACGTCTCCAGGGTAATGATATTGCAATAAATGAAGAGAAACAAGTATTCCGACCAATGTTTACAGCAGGCGAACTTGGTGACCGCGCAAACATAGTGGTAAGTGGATGCGACAAAGTTGTTTGTGCGTGTTTGAGGGAGAGGGAGGGGGTAGCCAACAAAGACCACGGGACAACTGGTATGTCCTCGCTGGGACTCATCTACAGTGCACATCGTTACTGTCTATCTGTCGGGACTTTGATTGCGAAACTCTGGGTTTGATGTGGAAACAATTACCTGCTACACGGCGGACAGCTAACACCTCGAACGCCTGATTACAAATGAAATGACTATTTTTCTTGTGTTTATCATGCAAGTTGACATAGGTCTGATCGTGAATTCGACAACGTCCAATAAACACAAGAACAAAGTTGAACTAGTTCAAAGTGATGTACAGAAGCTGTTGCATCCGTGATATACTCACATGGTTTTTTTTTTCTTTGAGTTATCAGTTGCAACGTTTTCCTCATTTGACTTCATTCTTCCACATCAGTTTTTCATTTTTTTTCTACTAATCCGTCCTTTATCTATGCTTCACAGTGCCACTCCTCTG